ATTTGCTGAAAATAAACCTGGATTTGAATCAGCTTCCTTTGCTGAGAGTCCCTGTGTGTCCATGACCATCTGTTTAGGTTTTTGCTTGGAGTAGATGAAATGACAGCGGTAGGCAACACCAGCACAATAGGCTTTTTCCAAACATGAATCGTATGAATTAAATAAATTCAATGGGTGGATGTTGTTGACCTTTAAAGTTTACCTTGCATAAAAATGAGATGTCAGGCAAAGAATTGAGTCAGTCAGCTGCAGGATGAAAATCCTCTACAGAGGCCTGTAATGAATTTTATTTCTTAGTACAAGGACCAAAGACTTCCATTTAAACAAGGCAGGCAGGCCAGTAATGCACTTTGAATGAAAATTACGATTATGCAGTTTCAGCTAAGGCTATCAGAGTAATTCTGAGCTAATAACTCATTTGCTCAGTGGGGAGATATTAAAGACAACCTAATTCAAATGTAATTTGCAAGTCCAACATTTACGACCCTTTTTTGTCTGGTGACTTCTCTCATGCAAAAAAAAAAAAGTGAATAAAGAGGCAAAATATTATATATACTTTTTAATGAAATGAAAACGGGCTAGGATGCTGGGCTGTTAATCACCTCAAGCGCCGAGGGCAGAGCCGGCCCAAGGCATAAACGAAATAAGCGGCTGCTTAGGGGCCCCGTGGCCACCAGAGGGCCCCCAAGAGTTCTTGAAATGACAGCTTGATTTATTTTTTTATTTTATTTTTATTATTATTATTATTATTAGGTTTTTTTGTGATATATTATGTCAATGGACAATGGTAATTATACAACAATAATCTATATATATGCATCATTTTATTAATTCCATAGCGACGCATCATCCGATAGGCACAATAGCACTGTATGACAGATCACTTTTATTTAGTTTTTCCTTTTTTGTTCAAAATATCCACAAACTTCTTAACTATATCATAAACTTGCTAAAACATATAGCCTATTCTGATTGTCAAATATGTGTAAATTAATTTGTTTTAATTTGTCGTTTAAACAACCTAAATTAGCCTACCATGTTAGTTGATCTATAATGCGCGCTGGACGCTGCCGTGTGGATCTGTCAGATTAACATCACTTAAATTCACCCATTTCTTCCGAAATACATGAAATTAAGTGGCCAGTGAACTGTGAGAAAAACAGTAAACTTTATAGTTACCTACACAGTGTTTGATAGGAATAAAACACGTTGTCAAATTTTTATTGAAATAATTATTATTGCCACTTTCCATAGAAATCAGTGTGTTTTTAACAAATTATAAATGTCTTTTTTGCTAATACTTAATTGAAATTGTAATTTTGAAACCAAAAATAAACTTTATGTGGTTGAAAACTCTGAACAGTTGTGATATATGAAAAGCACTGAGTGCTTCTTTCTCTGGCTCAGCACCAGCCAAAGTGCGGCGAGTCAAAGGGTTAAAATCGATCGCGTTTTGGGGTTGGAGTAAGGACAAAAAAAAAAAGATGGTGGGCACAAATCAGATCTGAGGGGGCAATCGTGCCTGGCTGGCTTGTTAATTAGCATAGCCTAGGTATCTTAGTAGGGAAGTTAAGTTAATGTTTGATTAAACATCCGTAAATAGCCTTGACATCTTAATATGTTATAATATAACATTTTACTTAGCTAGTTTTAGGTTAAAGTTTTTGTCTTCTGTGTAAAATAACATTCTTGGGTATATACTGTATATAAACTTGGTACTGATAACACATTAAGTATGCCACTTACTACTGTAAGACTTTGACTGTTAAAGTGCAAATTAACACCTGACCACTCTTGTGGGTTTGCTACTGTTACAATTAAAAATAGTAGAAGGGTAAAACATGCCAGGCAGACATTGGTATGATGTAAGCAACACAGATACAACAAATAAAATTGATAATGGGTGTGTTAGATTCATAGATTCAATCAGTCGTATTGGTGGCACCAAGGGGCCCCCCAAAAAAATTCTGCTTAGCCCCATAAAGGATTGGTCTGGCCCTGGCCAGGAGCCAGGGAAGATAAGCCGCCGTGAAGAAGCCGCCGCCCCTGAAGCCCCGGATCAGGAGCACATGCGGCCGCCAGACTCCGCCCCTTACCTGGACCCCTCCTTTCTGAACACTGCCCTTCCTTCACAATTCCCCAGCATAACGTGGACATCAGATCCCCCATTTATTTTGGACACTCCTTCCCCTTTGGACACTTCCCCATTTTTTGACATTTTATGTTTATTTTCTGTTAAATAAAAGCCTCTCAGAGGCCTGACACCACACCCACTGTGTCTGTCGTTTGCTCCTCCCGCCACAGTATACAGTGCATATTACAGATAACCAGCACTATAGAAGTACTATAATTGTATATAAAACTGTAAGTACTGTATATACTATACAGTATATGATCATTCAAATAATCAAATTGTGTCCATTTTCTGTGTAATCGTAGCCACCTGACTAGTGGATGCCTTGTGTAAAAAGTTGTAGGTTCTTTTAGATAGGAAAATTTTAAAGAAAATAAAAAAGAAGAAGAAGAATTGGGGTGAATCAATAAATTATGAAGAATTTACTGTCATTGTGTGAATAATATGTAATCATGTAATCTGTAAAAAAGTAACTGTAATCTGATAATGAGCATTTTAAAATATAATATAATATAATAACAAACACAAAATCCAGATTACATGTAATCAGTTACTAATATCATAACTCAATATGCTACATATTGATACATACTACATACTTATAACTCAAAAGTCACAGTGAGTATCTTGTGTGGCCACCAGCTGCTTTAAGTATTACAGAGTATCTCAACCTCATGGACTGAACCAGATTTGCCCATTCTGCTGTGAGATATTCCCCCAAAAATGATGCACCTGTTAAAGCAGTTTAGCCTAGCAAAGCAAAAATAAAAGAAAATAAGTTTTTCCAAATGAAGAGTCAAGTCATTTTATGTGGAATACATTATTTTCAACCCTGACAACCGGAAAGGGCACTCCAGAAATAAAAACATTCAAGTGATGTTGATTGAAAACCAGTTCAAATAAGACTTTGGCTTTCTCATTCATACATGCCCGCTTTTATTTCTACTGTTTTAAATGCCTGTTTAAAAGTAAAGGAGCATGGTGGAAAGTTTCTCCTTAAATATGCTGTTTTGATTGAAGCATGAGGGAGAGAGAGTGGAGAGAGAGCTGCATAATCTTTGCTTTATTCCTGTGGGCCACAAGGGAAATAATTTACAGTTAGTTGTGCAACATCCCTGCAGCAATTCTATCCAAAATAATGAATAGATTTTTCTTGGAGTGCAATTGTGAAGCCAGTGTTCTTTTTAACTGGCTTCAGCTTTCGAGATATAATTGAAAGCATAGATTTATTTGCATGTGTCATCTAACAGGAAAACTTTGGTAAAATTGGTAAGCTCAGGACAGAGTATTTTAAAAGTTAATCCATTATCGTGGAGTACTATAACTGTCATAGCCCGAGAGGTTTTATACAAAGTGAATGAGAACCTCAGTCCCATTTAAGTTTGTCACAAATGACTATTTTGAAAATGTACATCCTTTGTTTGATTGTTTGTTTGTTTTCAAGCTTCATTCATTTTACAGAATGTATTCTTCTTTTACTTTCCGACTGACCATTTTCTGATTAAGATCACTGTTCTGGATAAGCATTTATTCCAGAAAAGATATTTAAATTCTTTACAGCTGTTGAAATATTCCTGTATCATAATATTACTTTCCTCTTGTGAAAATACTGGAAATGCTCTTGCCATTTATTTTAATTAATTTTCAGTAATTCAGGTCATTAATTCTCATGAATATCCTTGACAACAGCACACAAAAGGGCAATGAATTAAAAAAGATGTAGATCATAACACTGTTATGATGCTTTCACCTGTCTGTATATTGATTTATGTTCACTTCTTTTAATGTTTTTATAAAACGAATATGTCTCATTGCACAAAAATGTTTTATGACACAATACTGTACAAATTAATACAAACATATGTCAGAAAACTGGAATATTAGCTTAATCAGGTTACTGCAATAAGATTATACCTTGTAATCAGAATATAACCAAACTTCTATTTCAGTTTAAAGCAAATGATGTGCTAAGGCTAATAATATAAAAAAATAAATAAATAAAATAACCAACAACTAACTTACTTATTGATTTTTTTTTTTTTACACTTTACAGGACCCTGAAAAAAACATGAAATGCATCTCAATGTAGAATTTCACTTAGATTTTTTTTTTTACTCATACTGACTAAGCACAGCTTTTGCTTGCACTGGTTTTGTGGATCAACCCAGTTTGTACTCTTCCTAGCATGCACTGGGGCATGAATAATGATTATGGTTGCATTGTTTGACTATTTGCCAGTTTTATCTGCATTGTTATTGTTGATGATGGTGTCACAAGTAGTAACTTGAGTTGTTTTGTGATTCATATAATGATCATTCTCAAATGATCATTTTTGTTTGTAACCATTGTTGATTCCTGTACCAAGCTATGGCGTCTGTTTGTGCCAATTTAAGGTAGTTTGTGGGTATATTTCGTTTTTATGTGATGAATGGTCAAGTCATTCAAACCTTTTCAAACTATTTTGTTCACAGTGGGCGACTGCATTTCTAACATTTATTCTACAATATTGTATTATTTTACAAAAATCATGCAGTGTAATTATCAAAAAGACACATATTTTGATGAAGTTGCCTTGGAAAATAAAGGGACACGTTCCTGGGACGTGAACGCTTTCAACTTCAGTTGTCTTAATGAGTTCTCAAACCAGTCAACCAGAATTTACATTGCTCTGACATTTTTTGAGAGAGAGGGAAGCTTATGGCTTTTGACATTAATATAGATAATGTTTTTACACTTTATTACCGGTCTCACACTGACTCCAGGGCTTTCCTGAACATACAGATCTTTGGAACGGTGAACTTCTACTAACCACCTGACTCATGCTCTCTCTCTCTCATTTCCCCCTCTCTCTTTCTTCCATATCCAGGACACTGAGATTATCAACACGGCAGTTCTTACTGGCCGAACTGTGGCCATCCCTGTCAAGGTGGTTTCCATAGAACTGAACGGAGCAGTCACTGATGTGTCATCCTTTGTGCAGTGAAAACTGATACTTTTGAATGTTAGCGTCACATATACATCTTCATATGTATGGGTTTTCTAACGCAGTCGGTTCGTCTGATAGCTCACGCGATACAGCATTGCACTTGTGAGGTGAAGAGCTCCAGTGCGAATCCCGTGAATCTAACCCACCTATAAGGAAGATAAAATAGCACAGTTGCATCGGCAAATGCGTTTTTATATCACTTTTGCATTCGTTAACACTATCGTGTAAGTTTAGGGTTGGGTTTGGTGTAGGGGGTATTTCTAATACAATAGAGCATTCATTTTTGATGACACTCGACGGGCATTTGAATTCTGAACCGTCGCAATACGTAACTGAAGCAACATGAAGTGCTTTTTAATGTTTTTTTTATCATTATATATATGCTGTTAAAATGAACTCATAAATATATTAAAGGATTAGTTCACTTCCAGAATAAAAATGTATTTATGTAATGATATTTATATAATAATAATGATAATTTAATCACCCCCATGTCGTCCAAGATGTTCATGTCTTTCTTTCTTCAGTCGCAAAGAAAGTAAGG